GTGGCTGTGATCCTTGTGATAGCGACAAAACTACCTGGAGTCTTGGCTCCATGGATTTCACCTCATCTGGGGAGCATGCTTCTTTAGGTTTCCCTCCTTCTGGACCATGGTGAGAGCTTTGGTGAGGGAGGTGTTGAAGATAGTGAGAGCAGACTTCGGCCTCGGGTCCCTCTATCGGTCCCTCCTGTTGGACCGATTAGTACGAGAGTCGACTCTTGGAGGGTCTTTCAGCCACTCGTGCCTTATAGGGAGGCCTCTAGCCTATTCTGGTGTCAGGGTCACTGTCGGAACTGCTGCTAGTGCGGTTGGTGCAACGGGCACTACTGGTGCTACTGAAGTTGTTGTTGTGGAGGTCTTTATGGCTCTGGCTGCCGCCTTGTAGGCTCAGGCATCCTCCATGTCCCGTGGGCTTTGGTGATCAGTTGCTCATAATTGATGATTGGCTTCTTGTCAAGCAAGTTGGCCAACTCGTTGCTCTGCAAGCAGGCCACGAGAGCAGACATAGCAACCACACTGCCTGGGTCATTGACCTCCAGTCTCTTTGCCTGAAACCTCTTGAAGTAGGCTCGAAGGCTCTCTCCGGGCCCTTGCCTCATTTGAATCAACACATTAGGGGGTAGCTTCTGCTTGGTGTCAGCCAGAAAGTGGTGGATGAACTTCCGGGTGAGATGTTAGAAGCTGCTGATGGACTTATTCTCAAGAGTGTTCCACCAGAGCTTGGCACTCCCCTAAAGAATAATGGGGAAGCATCGAAAAATGACTGCTTCCGATGCTTGGAGCATGCTCATCACATCATAGTAGTTTTGAACATGCTCATGTTGGCCTTCTTGTTTTGATGATGTTTAACAAACAATTTACTTCTAATGTTGTTTGTCTAGTGTTTGTATTTTCATATTTATTCTAGGCAAACAACGTGTTGGAGGTTGGATGGAATGCGCCATAACGATCATATCAAATGGAGGTTGTCAGAATAGTGGAGTGAAGCCTTGCTATCAAGTTAAAGATCTAATTACAAGCTTCATTCAAGTTTACCAAGTTGAGCTATAATGAAGATCAAGATCAAGCTTGGGTAACATTAGTTTAGGTTTATATTATGTGTGTTGGTACTTTAAGCTCAATCTTATATTCACACACATTATATATATATATACATACATAGTTTTGAGTTTTCATGTTTATAAATATGAGATTGCATATTTCATATTTATTATTGTGTTTTATATTTATTGCATAGAATATGCAATTATGTGAAAATATTGTTTTATTGGTTTATGGACTTAACAACAATGATATACATCTTTTATTAAGTCTATAAGAATGTTTGAAAATGTTTCAAAGTTGTTTGAACTCGTTTTGTAAAAATCAAGTTTTAACAAGTTTATGTTCGTGCATGTTCGTGCATGTTCTTACAAAACAGATGGTTTTCACAAATGGGAAGTAATATTTAATAAATTCTTTCTCTAACATGTTTATCTACATGTTTATAAACTTCCCTCAAATTTTTACTATTTTTGGAGTTGTTTTGTTATTTTCAATTGAATTTACAAAACCGTATTTTCAGTAGTTTTTCAGAAACTGTTTATCTGTGTTCAAATATTTATTTCTCTCAACTGGGAAGTGATTTTTCAGAAATTCTTTCTCTAACATGTTCATATACATGTCTAGAACCTTCTCTCAAAATTTCATAATTTTTGGAGTTGATTTACTATGTTTAATTGATTTTATAAAACCAGAGATGTGGAAAAATTAGATCTGCCAGACTGCTACAGTACCCACGGTCGACCGTGAAAGTTACTGTAGCATAACGGCTATATTTTCCTGGTTCCGATTTTTTGGGGATTTGCATCGTTTTTTGGGCTTTTCTTTGGCTTTGGGTTGTTGTCTTAAGTTCTTATAAATACCCATCATCCTTCAACACTTATACACAACAAGAGAATGTTTTAAAGAGTTTTAAAAAGAGTTTAAGCTTGTTTTAAGCTTGTTTAAGGGTTTGGTTTATGAAGAAAGTTTTACAAGAGCTTGAGGAGATTATCAATTGTATTTTGGGCATTCAATCCATCTCTCTCTCTTGTCATCTAGAGAAGTTTTCCTAAACTCAACTCTAGCTTTTATTTATAATTATTTATTGATTATCATTTCTATTAAAGCTAGTTTTATATTGAGTTTAGTTGATTTGATTTCACTCATTGTTTACACACACCCACTTGAGCTTTTTGTATTTACATACATAGTATAATTTTGGGTTGTGGGTTTGTGACTAAGAGTTGTGCTTAATTGAGTTCTCACCTTGTTTAGAGAATAATCATTTGATTTATATTGAGCCATATTGTGAGATTCACTTTGTAATACACTTGTATACCGAGAGGAGTGTGTGGTGAGAGTCGGGGATCGTCCCAAGAGGAGTGGCGTCGGTTGACGAGCCTAGGGAGAGGTTGTAACCGAACACTTGAGAGAGACACGGCTAGGTCCAACACTTGTGAGGGTGTAGAGTGTGATTGCAAGAGTGTCGATTGTAAAGTTTTCGGTTAGCTAGAAAACCGAGTGTGAGGTGTAAACGTTATTCGGGTGAGCGTAGAAAACCCGGTTGTGATAGTGGATTTCTCCCCGGGAGTGGGGAGCGGAGATGTAGGACGGAAGGTCCGAACTCCGTGATCATATTGTGTGTTTGCATTGTTTATTTGCACACTATCACATTTGTAGTTTGATTATATCACCCTTATATTAGTTAATATATCCTTGCATATATTTGTAATATTTATCATATAGGATATATCTCATTGTGCATATTGCTTATCCTAGCTCATATATCTTGTTGTATTTTATACTTGCTAGAATAACTTGTTAATTAGTTTTAATTAGCAAAAAATTGGATTAGATTAGCATAAGACCCTAATCACCCCCCTAGGGTCTAGGGTCTAACAGCTCAGAGGAGTCTCCCTCGCCCTTATACTTCTCCATGTGAGGCATCTTGAACTTCTCACATGAGACATTCATAAGATCATCTGAAAGAGGGGTGTTCCCCCCATTGGCTTCTGCGACCGGTCTATACACTTGATCATATCCAGAGGCCCCATGGTAGCAGAGGGGGCTGGAGATGCACAATGATGGGGGAGAGTCTTAGAGGTTGCTCCCCTGGTGCGGTCTCCAATGTGACCAGGGCCAGGACTCTCGTCGGTGATTTCTTGATGAGAGAGAAGACGTTAGCGAGGCTCTGCTGGGCAAGTTGGTCGGTGAGGTGGTGGGGTCGTGTAATCAACGTGATCCCGCAACTGCTTGGTAGCAGCATGATGAGTCTGAGGCGGGACTACGTGCTGTGCTCTGGAAGGAGGTTAAGTCTCTGACCGTAGGTCTTCAGAAGGTGGGGGGACAACTGAGGTAGCTCGCTGCGGCTGTGGAAGACGGCTGAGAAGTTTGCTAGTAAAGGTAGTGAATTGCTGTTGGAGAGATTTGTGAAATCTGATGAGCTGTTTCTTCAAGCTGCGCTCGAGTAAAGTAGCTCTGGTGTGGTTCTACAGGGCAAGACTAGTCAGACCCATGCTCAGGACCAGACATGCTTTCTCAAAAAAGAAAATAGCCTCATAGTGAGCGCCAAACTGTTGATGCTAAATGATCACACAGTCAATTAAAATGGTTGGATGATGATGAAGTTGATGAGGGGCCACTTTTTTCCCCGAATATCCGATTCTGAGTTGAGTAGCTAAAGCCTGCACAAGTAAATACTCGTGAGAGGACGGAGATTGGTTTTCCCGTGGTTCCTCCAACGATCAAGTCAGCTGGTGAACTTGAGTGGGGAAAGTGAAGAACTCTGAGTTCTTGTGTGTGCAGTATAATTTGCAGATATATCTTAGAAGATTAGATTTCTAAAAAAGATCCAAAAGTCTTCTTTTTGTTAGAATAGTACCTCTTATTTATACTGATGATATAAGGGTAGAATTGTCACTTTGGCCGAGCACAGCATGGCTGTGAAGAAGTATGGGCTGGCGACTGTGTTAGTACTTACTTTATACACATCGCTCGGTGAGTGGAGGAGAGATCACCTCAGCATTAAATGACACGTGATCTAAGGCATGGTGGTGCCGACATGGTCCGATGAGTCATGAAGACTATCGGGGCTAGAGGCATGATGGCGTCTGCCAAGCATTAAATGCAGCGTCGACGTTATGTCAACGAGAGATGCTCGAGGCTAAAGTCGTCCTCTAGCTTCGCCGAGAGGTAACAACTTTCGAGTCGTTCTCGTGAGGCATCGAATAATTAGTTGAGTGGGCTCGTTGCGAGTCATCTTGGACAAGAGGGTCGACTAGTACCGCCATTTGTGTCGACATAAAGAGATGTCGACTCGACGAGTCGGCTGAGTTGGAATCCTTGCTGGTCTATGGCTGCCAATTTGAATGGGGCATTGCATGTAGAAGTACACATGTCTGTTGTTGGCGAAGGGTCACACTTTGACGATTGAGAACACCATAACACTTATATTTGATAGCAAGAAAATGCCCTAAGTTTTCAACTTGCACTTATATACCCTCGGTTGTTTTTTATATCACTTATGTACCCTAAAATCATTAAAACTTGTATTTAAATACCATAAAGTTTTTAAATTTGACACTTAAACACCCTAAAGTTTTTAAATTTGACACTTAAACATCCTAAAGTTTTTAAAACTAGCACTTAAATGCCCTCAAAATTTGCATAACTGAGAGTATTTATGTGCAATTTTTAAGAACTGTAGGGTATTATTCAAGTGCTAGTTGTAAAAACTTTAGGACATTTGAGTGCTAACTGTAAAAACATTTGGGTATTTAAGTGCTGCCAAAAAAACAAGGGTATATAAGTGCAAGTTTAAAAAACTCGAAGATATTTTTTTGCTACCGAATACAAGTAGATACATATAAGTGAAAGCAGTTGAAACAATAGGGCAGGGTATATAAGTGCCATTTTTTCTCATATCCTGTTCTACATACATAACATTTATGATTTGATATTGATCTGACCGTCAAAAAAGATTTTTAGAGAAAATCCAACTTCTGTAGCACACTGCTTTTCATTCTACTTATAAAGATGGGAGGTAGAGACCCTACAAACAATATCCCATGCCATTTATGCGTTGAATTTGCACAATATAAGATCCAGAATCTAAACTCTTATCGCTCAAACCTGTCCTCTCAAACTAACTACGAACCAAATACATAAATACACCTCCAGCAAGCCAGAAAACCAACATAAACAGATATTTCACCCATACTTTCAGAAATGCATGAGTCATTACAACAATATAGGCAGAAGGAAAAAGATCAAGCAATGCAATTAAACTATTTTCGTCCACCACTCCGACTCTGAGTCCATGACGAAGGCTTAATATTCCCTGCCAACAAAGCTGATGCAGAACTCACTTTTAACTTCCTCCTCTTTGACTCGAGCTCTAACATCCTGCTTCTAGATGTAGATGGTTCTCCAAAGATTGAGGAGGCTTTGATGGCAGCTCGCTTATCCTTCCTGTTCCTCTCAAACTTGGAAGAGAATCTCATGCCAGAGGCTACAGCTGCATCTTCTGAAGATGAAGGGAGAAGTCGGATTCCTAGACCCATCTTTCTTGAAACCTCTTCTTCCTGAGCGACTTTCTTCTTCTGGCCCTGAGAGTAAAATTATGAAAGTAGAAGTTAAGAATCACAGGGTTTTGTCTGATATATAAAGTTCTAGAGGGTTTTGTGAAATTTACCCTTTAAAATGTCGATGTACAATAGTTGATTAATTGCCTAGACAAGTTTAAAGAAAAAGAAACCTTGTTGCAAACAATGTGGTAAAATTACTCCTTTTCCGAAGACATGTATATGGTTTTCTTTCTTAAAGCCAAAGTTAGAAAATGCGTGCTTCTAACCTACGTGGCAAAACTCATCTGTCATGGTTACAAGTTCAGGTTTTTTCCCCCTAGAAACCAGTTGTTCCACAAAAACCACCTTTGATTGTCAATTTAACCATAAACCGCCTTTAAATGATTTCTTGCTACAATCAACGACCTAGACCCACTTTGTGGTTAAGTTTTTCCAATAATTGACCCCACCTAACCATCATTAAGAATCACCTCTCTAACATACTTGATTTTTGATAACTAATCATTATACCCAAAAAAAAAAACCGAAAAGCGGATAGAGGTGGTTGATTACAACAAAAACTTGTTTAAAGGTGGTTTATGTAGAAATTGATAGTAAAAGGTGGTTTTTGTGAAATGACTATGTTTTAAAGTTATATCCTAGGAGGAAAAACCTTTAAGTTTTAACCACTAACTCAAACATTAGCTTGCAACCAATGATTCTTATTCTTTTTCGCTGATCGGTGGAGGAAATTTTCACTAATCCTCTAACAATAAACTATGAAAATGAAGTAATTTTCTTTTAAAAGCATTTTAAACCTACTATAAACGTATGCAATAAAAAGGTTGAGACCCAATATCCAACCATTTACAATTAAATTCCCACCCAAGTTTTCATACATTTTGCAGTTCAGATTGTTGCCCGTCACTTAAGACACGTACCCTATTACCAAGTTTTTACCATGTAGGTAATAGTATATATTCATTATCCTCTCTAGAGAGGACATACAAAAACCAGCTTAAAAAAGGTAAAGATAAATAAGTTAGCCTATTATCTTTAACCTGTGCTCTAAATATATAGTATTAAATATGCATCAAACTCAGCACCTTCAAACTCTACTCTTTCTTTTTCTCACTTGGACTTTCTATTTAAACTGCAAGCTATTTATGCCCCTTATTGCAGTATTGTTCTTTTTTTAATTATTTTTTCTGCTCACGCAATCTCGAAGCAATAAACAGAAGTCCCCATACTTGGAAAACTTAATACATGTAAGAATAAACAAATAATCATCTAAAACTTACCCTAAGACGAGCACGGAGGGCTCTGTTAAGATTGTAATCATCAGAATGCCTACTGTCAGACACTTTCTGCAGGCGAACTAGCACCGGCTCGGCTTCCTTCTTCTTTTGCAGGTCTTCTTCTTGGTGCTCAAGACGGTAGAAAGGATCTGACAACTTGGCTCTGTCTTCATCTGCTGGAAGAGCAAATGTTTCAGCATCCTCAACATCATAATCTTCTGTCTTCTTCTGGGCTCCACTAATAATCACATATGCACAATTCTTTGGGTCTGTCTGTATGACTATTTCATGCTGACAGCATGCTGACTTCATTGTGAAGCTCCATATCTAATTGTACAGAAGCATCAAGATGATGTATTAATCAAGGAGGGAAGAACAAACAAAAATTGCTTAAAATACAACAAGCCTAGACAAATATAAACGGGTACACAATACCAATGATTAATAGAAAACAGGTCAAAATGGTAAAATCTATGAGTCAAGCTTGGAAACAGCAGCAACTTTGAAAAGTTCTAGAGTAATTAATTCTAATAGACTCATCTCTATGCTTCACACTGGATTCTACAAGATCATATGCACTAGAAACTGCACGCTCGAGTCTTAAAATCCACAAGAAGAAATCAAGCAGTTAAGTTGACTCAACCCAATAGAAAATATAAGATTCATTATAGTGAGACAAGTTTCGTACTGCATTGACATACTAAAAAAATTGTACGCAAAACCATCAATCCTCGTACCTTTGTAGAATAATAATTTCCCACTTGCTTTTTCTCTGCATTGAATCTTACACCCTTGGCAATCATGGAATTGCATCCACCACACCATATATTGTAAGGCATCTCGAACCTGAAAGTCAAAAGAATGTCATGCAGTTATAGTAAGTGAAATGAGTACAAGGCAAAATTTTCTGAACAATGCCATTTCGAAGCTGAAAGTCAAGAATGTCATATGTTATAACAAGTGAAATGAATACAACAAGGCAAAACTTACTGAACCATGTCATGAAATATTTTACAGGTAACAGTCGACTTCATATATTTTCTCAATACATGTAATTTTTAAATAGTTTCAGCAAATTTCATCTGTTTTTAAATATTTTCTCTCACCATCTCACTTTCAGTTTGTGTTTTGTTGTGTTTTTTTTTTCCTTTTTTCGGGTGGGTTTCGGGGGTTTTTTTGGGCTTTTTTTTTGGCAGGCAAAAAGAAATTTCACTATGATCAAGAAATTTTCATATGCTAACAGTTGCCTTTATACATTCCGCCTCCCTGGCTCAGTTTAAGTACAAAACATGCAATTCTAGTGACAGCGGTTTCATCTGCTTGTTCACTCCCATGAGTAGGGTGCGAGATTGATAATCGATACCAAGATCCACACAAGGAAATTATCCTCCTAACTTTCTCCTATTGTAGTTTAAGAAGATACTATGTACCTCAATCCCATAATCTCCACATCTATCTATAGAAATCAAGAAGATGAATACCCCCCACAACGTAGTCTACTGGCTGGGGGCTTAGTGTATTGGCTCAAAAGGGCAAGGATCAACCCGTGTCTATGGCATTACCAATCCTCAATTTCTAATTATTAGGCATGATAACACTTGTGTTATTCACCTATGTCTGGACTGTGGAAGGGGGACCCCAAACCCCGGGGTTTACTTGGTGTGGTACTAAGCCAAGGTTCCTTGCACCGAAAAAATCAAGAAGATGAGCACCTCTTAAAGCCTAAGCAGTTACATTTGTTCTCATTTGGGAGAAGCTAGCACGAAAGAACATAAGCTAGCACGAAAGAACATACTTCCAAGTAGAATCTAGTCAATGCAGACTAGCTGAACCTTGTCAGAAAGCAATACAGCTATGAAAATATGGAAGTGGACTCAAGCACGGTCTCTTGAAAAGAGAGAATGAGAGAGACCACCACTTACTGTCCACCCTGGTCACTCTATGCAATCTTGGGGATTAAACATTTGGAATCCTATTCTCTTGGATGGACATGGATTTACAATGAATTACTGAACTTAACATCTATGCTACTATATAATGGAAAACTTCAAAGTAGACGACAAATGGATCGAAGGTGGACATCATGTAGAACACTGATGAGAAAAATGGAAATTTCATATATAATATTATAGATGTCATGAAATATATATCTCTCACTCATTTAAAAGGCAGCATAATTCTTTCAAATAATCTTAGCAAAACAATTATAAGATGACAGAAATATTAAATATTATTTTAAATAAAATATTCTAAATAGAGATTTAAACATACCTTTTTAATTTTTAATATATATATAATGTCTTTAGTAATTTACTAACTTGTATTATTGGTAATTAGAATTGACAAAATTATCAAGTAATAAATTTATATAACACAATTTTCGTTGTTACCAACTAGATTAGTAATAACATATATGATAATATCTCTAACTATAGATGCATTTTCACCCATCAAAACGGCTTTGAAACTAGCAATAACAACTGGCCAAACTTGAATCGAAATATACAAGATCCAAATGTGAGTTAATAATAAAATTTTATTTATTTTGATATCACATTCTACATTTACAATGTTTTAAATAAACTAGTCAAAATTTTGTATTAAAATTGTCCATTGTTTAGTTACTAAATAATAAAATCTATGGTGCATTTTTTACACTGAACCCTGTTAGTAACTTATATGAATTAAATCATCTTAAATTAATTAGGATGCATTTTTTACACTTAACCCTATTAGTAACTTATATATGCATTAAATCACCTTAAATTAAATAATATGTACAACAAATAATTATTTAGACAATAATTACTTTTACAAGAAGATGCATGGCATGTGCCGATATGCTAGTTTCCTTTTAGATAGCAAGAGAGATTGAAGTCATCCATGTATGAAGGTGTTCCAATGAATTTGCTATAAGAGTAATGCTAGGTTGTAAAGTTCATCTGGTCATAAATAGAGGTTAAATAATGATCAGTAGGTTGAATGGAAGCAAGTTGTTCATACAGACGCACACAGACACATAATGTCAAAAACATAATTACCAAATGTTACTTTCAACTATTAAAGAGTCATTCAAAAATAAAGCTGATAAATGAAACTAAGAGAAACAACCATAGGTTAATTCAACTAAGCCAAGTTAACTGAAATTAAAGACCGGGTAGGGTGTGAGATTGATAATGGATACCAAGGTCCACACAAGGAAATTATCCTCCTAACTTTCTCCTATTTTTAGTTTAAGAAGATACTACGTACCTCAATCCCATGATCTCCGCATCTATCTATAGAAATCAAGAAGATGAATACCCCCAACAAGTACCCTACTGATTGGGGGCTTAGTCTTAGCTCAAAAGGGCAAAGACACTGTTATAAATAACGGTAAATAGCCCCGCAATAGCGGCGCTAATAGCGTTAACGGTCTCTTCCCGTGACGCTATCGCCCGCTACGCTATCACGCAATAGCGTTGACATATTACGGAATATGTGCAAAAGCGGCCAATAGTGTGTCATAACGGTAAATAGTGAGCGATTATATTCGAATTTTGCTTTTTGACTGCTATTTAAAAGCGGTTTGAGGCTTATTTTTTTTAAAAATTAAACTCAATCCTTGACCATTGTATTCCACCGTCTCCTGTGATTTTCAGCATACTCCCGTCACCTCTCATAGCCTTTGACACTTACCTTGATACTTCCTTTCACCTCCTTCACCGTGAGCTCCTCTTAGGATAGTCCTGTCACCGCTAAGCTCTTCTTCTCGAAAATAACGACTTTTTGACTCCTCCAGTCATCTTCGATATTACGTGATGGTTACATGTCTATTTCATGTTTAGGATCTCTTTAAATCATCCAATATGTACTTTTAGATTTCTTAGATTTTTCTTTTTTAGTATTTATACATATCTAAATTAGACCGCTATTTGACTTTGCGCTTTTTACCGTTATTTTGCCGCAATAGCCCGAAATAGCCTTAGCGATGCCCCACCGCTACGCGACGTTATCCGCTATCGATAACCTTGGGAAAGGATCAACCCGTGTCTATAGCATTATGCATCCTCAATTTCTAATTATTAGGCATGACAACACTTGTGCTACTCACCTAGGTCAGGACTGTGAAAGGGGGACCCCAGACCCCGAGGTTCACTTGGTTTAGTACTAAGCCAAGGTTCCTTGCACCAAAAAATTAAGACGATGAGCACCTCTTAAAGCCTAAGCAGTTGCATTTGTTCTCAATTGGGAGAAGCTAGCATGAAAGAACATACTTCTAAATAGAACCTAGTCAGTGCAAACTAGTTGAACCTTATCAGAAAGCTATACACAACTATTAAAAAATATGGAAGTGGAAACAAGCACGATCTCCTAAAAAGAGAGAATGAGAGAGACCACAACTCATACTGTCCATCCTAGTCGCGATCTTGGGGATTAAACATTTGGAATCCTATTCTCTTGGATGGACATGGATTTACAATGAATTACTAAACTTAACATCTATGCTACTATATAATGGAAATAATGAGGGCAAACAAAAAATGGATGAAAGGTGGACATCTTGTAGAAGAGTGATGAGAAAAATGGTAATTTCATATATAATATTATAAATGTCATGCCATATATATCTCTCTCACTCATTTAAAAGGTAGCATAATTCTTTCAAATAATCTTAGCAAAACAATTACAAGATGACAAAAATATTAAATATTATTTTAAAATAAAATCTTCTAAATAGAGATTTAAATGTAACTTTCTTATTTTTAATATATGCATAATGTCTTTAGTAATTTACTAAATTGTATTATTTCTAATTAGGATTGACAAAAATCATTAAGTAATAAATTTATAACACAATATTCATTGTTACCAACTAGATAAGTAATAACATATATGATAAAATCTCTAACTATAGATGTATTTTCACCCATCAAAATGGCTTTGAAACTAGCAATAACAACCGGCCAAACTTGAATCGAAATATACAAGATCCAAATGTGAGTTAATAATAAAATTTTATTTATTTTTGATATCACATTCTACAATTACAATGTTTTAAATAAACTAGTCAAAATTTTGTATTAAAATCGTCCGTTGTTTAGTTACTAAATAATAAAATCTATGATGCATTTTTTACACTGAACCATGTTAGTAACTTATATGAATTAAATCATCTTAAATTAAATAGGATGCATTTTTTACACTTAACCCTATTAGTAACTTATATATGCATTAAATCACCTTAAATTAAATAATATGTACAACAAATAATTATTTAGACAATAATTACTATTACAAGAAGATGCATGGCATGTGCTGATATGCTAGTTTCCTTTTAAATAGCAAGAGAGATTGAAGTCATCCATGTATGAAGGTGTTCCAAAGAATTTTTATAAGAGAAATGTTAGGTTGTAAAGTTCATCTGGTCATAAATGGAGGTTAAATAATGATCAGTAGGTTGAATGGAAGCAAGTTGTTCATACAGACGCACACAGACACATATTGTCAAAAACATAATTACCAAATGTTGCTTTCTGTTAAAGAGTCATTCAAAAATAAAGTTGATCAATGAAACTAAGAGAAACAACCACAGGTTAATTCAACTAAGCCAAGTTAAATGAAATTTTAAAAAAAAAAGAACTTCAATTTAAGGCTTAAGTTAGCTTATGCAGGCTCAAGTGTTAGATATCTTCCGTGGAAAAGAAAAGTGGAGTCGGATGAGAGCAATGGTTACAAAGGCTAGACATATTGGGAAATACCAAGAAAAAGAATTCGTGGAAGTCATGTGAACCCTCATCGACAACCGTTCCAGAATTCTAATTGATACATTATCTCTTATCTATTCTTCTTAAGATCAGCACAGCTTATCCTTATTATCGACAAATGAAAATGTATATATACATTTGTTAGTTGCTACACTTCTTGTTTATAAAGCCAAATAATTCCTCGGGCGCATTGGCCGTTAATCAATAAAAATATTACGAAGTTACTTCAATATGTTTTATAACTCTCCTCTCTTTCTACAATTTCCCTATGTTATGGATCTCTCTTCCCTCGTAATTTATCAATTTATCCCAAAAAATATTTCGTTTTCTATTGGTCTTCCCTCCTCACCATATTTAATAAAGTTACTATTAAAATGTTAATGAGTCATAACTTTATCTACTCTTTCTATTTTTCCACCGTTTCTTGCCCTTTTATGTGCACGAATATTACAAGTTCTCCTAAATATTTCTCTTCCCACCATTGCATTCTCTTTTCTCATGGATGTTTGATTGTAGTATGTTTAGACCTACAACTTGCTGTAATACATTAAAAAATTAGCAACCCATACAAAGCAATATTTTTCTTGCATTGACCACTATTCCACAAGTTGAGCAAATGCACAACCTGGAATAATTACCAAAAAAGTATTGTCATGTTCCTAATCTTGGACAAAGTAAATGAAACCTTTAGGTGACTTGAAACCATGGTGGACATTGAATACATTTTAAATAAACGACATTGATGTTAAAGATAAAAAGCGAGTTTGCTTCTCCATTCATGTACATGTGCTCTTTTGAGTCTTTTCTAGCTGGTATGACTTCACAAACACATTGTAATAAATGCTATTTAGCATTTTTTGAGAACAATTTAACAAGTGTTTCCTAACCACTCCACATCTACAAACAGCAATCGAGTTTCCTATACCGATTCATAGTGCATTTTCCAATCTACATCAATATAAAAAGCAATCTGAGAAATAAAAGAAGAAAAATACTAACTAAATTGATTATGTAACTTTTCTTCAAGCATTTACGGTCGATAATTGACAAATTCAATGAGAGAGAATCATTTGAGATGGCTTCATCATATGCATCATAAGCCATTAAATGCAATAGTTAGGACTTAGGAGTAATAAGATTCTAGTTCCTAAAGAAAGAAAAACTAGAGGTAGGCATATAATAACTTATTGTTAGTCTTGTTAGGTCTCGTGTTTATGAACCTACTCCATAATCTTATTTTAATTATTATAAAAAATTCCTAAAAACGCGTGTCGAGTGTTTGCATTTGTTTTGTTAGGTAATCTACACAAACATTTGTTGGAGGTTGGATGGATTACGTCATAACTATCATATCAAATGGAGGTTGGCGAAAATAGTGGAGTGAAGCCATTTACAATTCAAGTCGTATACAAGATCAAGCTTCATCCATGTTACCAAGATCGAGCATCACGAAGATCATTGTTTGGTATATTTGGTACTTAAAGATCATATATACACACATACACGTTTTGGGTTTTATAGCTTTCAAGTTTATATAAATATGAAACAAATAGTTATTTTTATATACTTACATATTTCATATTTATTGTTTTTGTTTTTGGTTTAGTTATACAAATATGAAACAATAGATATATTCATATACATACTCATACGTTTCATATTTATCATTTTGGTTTTTATAAAAATGCATATATTATGCAAAACAACATTCTTGGGAAAATATTGTGTTATTGGTTTATGGACTAAACAACACTAGTTTATATCTTTTACTTAGTCGATAAATCCATTCAAGAGTTTTCAAAATTTTGTTTATGTCAAAATGTCAAAAACAAGTGTGTTGACATTTCATATTTTGACCTATTTTGCAAAATGACGAGTTTTCATAATTGGGAGATGCAATTTAAAAAATTCTTTTTGTAATATGTTCATTTTCATGTTTATAATTATTTCCCAAAGTTTTATATTTTTTAAAATTTAATTACTATTTTTAAAGGCACTTCAAAACTCAGTTTTCATACATGAAAAGTGCCTGTGCGTGTTTATAAGTTGACTTATGTACTGTAGCAAGTCGACTTATGAACTGTTTTGGAAAATATAATTTTTATCTGCTGAGTCGACTTAAAATTACAGGAAGTCGACTTATAAGTCGACTTATAAGTCGACTTATAAGTCGACTTATGAACTGTTTTCTTGATTGTTATTTTTGTATGTTGAGTTCAACTGAAACAAGTCGACTCATAAGACATACGTCAACTTATGAACTAGTCATTGCACAGTAACGACTATTTTCCAGTTTTTGTTTATTTTATTGTTTTTATGGGTTTTTGGTGTTTTCTTGGGTTGATTTCTTCTACTATGTATATACCCCTTTGTCATAACTATTTTTAACTACCAAGAATGTTTTTAAAAAAGTTTTAAGGGTGTTTAAAATTTGTTTAAGTTTTGTTTTAAGTTTGTTTTGTGAAGAAATTTTCACAAGAGAAAGAGGAGATTATCCATTCTTGTTTGGGCTTTAATCTACATCCACCCACTCTTGTTTTAGAGAAGTTTTCTTAAACTCATTATCTAGCTTGTTTATGCTTAATTAATCATATTTATTTTTGCTAGATTAAATTAAGTTTATATTTGATTTTATTCTTTGTTTACACACACAACCTATGGAGCTTTTAGTAATTCATACATAGTATATTTGGGATTGTGAGATTGTGTTACTTAGAGTGTGAGATTACATTGAGTTCTCATCCATTATAGAGAACAAACAATCTTATATTGAGCTTTATTTATAAGATCACTTTGTAATACACTTGTACACCGAGAGGAGTGTGTGGTGAGACATATGATTGATTCCAAAAGGAGTGACGTCGGTAGTAAATCCTAGGGAGAGGTTGTAAATCCGAGCACTTGAGGAAGGCGACATGAGCTAGAGACCAACACTTAGCGGGTGTAAAGTGTAATTGCAATAATGTGAGTTGTGAAAATTTTCGGTGAGCTAGAAAACCGAAATTGTGTGGAGTTGTAAATGTTTTGGGTGAATGTTGAAAACTCGTGATAGTGGATTCTCCCCAGGAGTGGGGAGCGGAGACGTAGGTCGGAAGGACCGAACTCCGTGATCATATTGTGTGTTTGTGTTTTGCCTTGGCGTAATTTTTGTGCTCATAGTTCATTCTATTCTATTTCACCATTGCATCATATTTATATCGCCCTTAGTTTAAATTACATATCCTAGCTCATATATCTTGTTGTATTTCACACTTGTTAGGATAATTTGTTAATAAGTTTTTAAACTGGCATTAAATCGGATTAGATTAGTAATTTATCCTATTCACCCCCCCTCTAGGGTACTTTCACTTATTTGGAAACAATTAAGAAGAATATGATAATGATGAACTTAATGGAGGAGATCCCTAGCCAATACCAAATAATTAGGATAATGCTTTGTTGTTGCTATTACTTTTATTATCAGTATTATCATTTTTAGCTAAGTTCATTGGAACCTAATATTATTATTCAGTAATATCAAAGACTTTTTCTATAGTTTAGCTCTATTGAGAGCATCTCATAATTAATTTTATTATTTAGTTCTATCCTTTTTTCAACTAAGCTATTTGCAACCTAATAGTATTCAGTAATATCAAAGATCTATTCTATAGTGTATCTCTATTAAGGGTATCTCATAATGAAACTAACAGTTGCATTATCTTATTCTACTGTGTTAAAAATATTAAGTATACCCATGACCCTAGTTCTATTGAAACTTCAACTAAGATCCAATCACTTCTCTTAAATTGACACCTAATCTTCAATATTCCAAACCATCTAACCGATTCTCCCTTATTTATGCGTAGTAGCAACTACATATAACTTCTTACAAGTGCATTCATTCCAATCCTATATGGGCTATATTTTAACATGTAGCATACCATCTGAACATTTTCAATTTAGCTACATAAATTTTAAGGACATACTCATTGCCCAATGGTTTAGACATGTTTCTTCCCAATCTTATAACCCTAATGAATGATGCTAAAAAAATTAGTAATTCCTATGCATTTTGTGGCCAATGATGTGCAAGTACACCTTCAGGCTTTAGATCTTCAAATTTTTTTTTTTTGAAATAAGTTATACTCCATATTTTTCCATTTTTTAAATTGATCATTTGTAGGTATTACTATTACTTGCAGTAATGTATAAAACATACCCGTATTCCTTCACAAAATTTTGATACAATTATATTCAGTGTTTTTCCACTTGCTTATTCTAAGTTTTTTAGGCTCTAAAATTTCTTTTGCCTTTAACCATCAAAAAGTAACCTTGATTATATAATAAGTCACTAATTTTCATGTCATTCTATCTAGAAGTACATTACTTAGGTGAACGTTGCACGCTAGAAATTATAAGAAATCAAATGGCTTCCAACAAACAAAACTTGTTAGCATATAAGATGATTAACTGATAAATCTAACTATTTGGATCGGATCTAGTGACAATTTGTGGTTTATAATCATAGACATGTAACAATGCTTGTATTTGTCCACACACGCTTGTTATGTCACATGCATGAAAATAAAGACATGAAAGGATATCTCATAGCGGACATCACGATGGAGTTTCATTGGCACGTTAACAGACATTAAAGGTGTCCAAAACACTAAATAGATTAAAAGGAAACGTCTTAAATGGTCTTGATTCAATGTTTATTTGCAAACTAGTAATCATAAATAATGCTTATGTAAATTTTGATTATAATTTCTTCTCCAAAAAATATTACCTTATAATAAGAATGCCTTGGTCTAGCTTCCTTGCTCTCTCCCTCAAAGCATGTTGACCATGAAATTTGTTCAAACCACCCTAGAAGTGAATGACAAAAATTGCAAAGAAAAGTCAGTAATTGAATGCAGATGTAAGCAATATAATCTCCCACTAGAACAACTCGAGTTTCTCCAACTATGAAAAATCCAATATCGAAAAATAAGAACCAAAACTACAACACATACCTTTTTTGGTTCCCATTCTGGTGGATAATAAAAGTTATCTGCTCTGGCAGCTGCAAGAGAAGACTGCGAAAAAACGTTGCAACTTAGGAAATAGTTTGGTTATGCATAGTAAAAATTTCAATCGATAAAGCCTTTACAAAGATATGTTAAGCAAAATAAGATCAAATGGTACTTCCCAGTTTGAATAGAGAAATTAAAAAAAAATTTAACCTCTCAAAAGCAGATGCATAAACCTACAGATTCTGGACAGAACTTTTATTATTCTTATAAATATTTTTTAAATCTACAAAAAAAAATCCTAACAAAATAAAAGAAATTGCAAGTTAGAAAACAATCAAGCGTTAAATAAATTGAAACCATCTTAGAAAGAAGTTCCGTTGTATATCATATCCCCAGCTTTTGTTGATTCAAAACGTGAAATTGTGAATGGCTGCCCGAAGTAGCATGAACTTCAGCAAATCAATTGTAGTAAAACAGTATCGGCTATCAATTTGCACAATAGCACTAATTAAGATGAAAACCTTCAGACAGACCCAAGCAGAAAAATCAAATATCCTGTCTAATTTAGGCATAGTCAAATTAATCAGCGCATCGGATAAGTTTCCCAACATACTCATCAAATTCAAAAGGAGAATTAACCAAATCCATGATCAAACCAACCCTCCAAATAGAGAAGAACACAATTTCATCAAATATATAAAAAAAAGATTATCCCTAAAAAACATAACACGACAAATTTAGGCCAATAAACTAAGGAAATTTTTATTTAAAAAAATGTGAATTGGGTGAAACCCTAACCCTAATCCACGATCAGACTAATCCCCCTTATAGAAGAACAGAACTTTATCAACTAAAGGATGTAACATAACAAATTTAGGCTCGATAAACTAAGGAAAACAAAACAAAATATTTCACCTTCGAATTGGCCTAATCCTAATTTGATCACAGGATATTTAGAAGGGATTGATGCTTACCATTTTTCTTCGCTAGGTTTCGACCGTGACGATCACGGATTCACAGTCGCCGATCGAGAGATCGAGAGAGCGAAAAGGAAGAAAAACGATCGGAAAATATATTATCTTCCTTCCCCCTTTCGGCCCTTTCTACTTGGTTTTTTTGCGTTTTTCGGGTTAGCCTCTTAAAAGAGGAAATTTTCAAAACAGTCCCAAAAAGTTTTTTATTTTTCAAAATCGACCCATTTTTTTTTATTTATCAAAATCGATCCACTTTTTGCCACGTGGGCTTAATGAAGTTCCTAAACAGTCGGGGTTGCCAACCCCGACTGTTTAGAACATGAAAATTTTGGGTTTAAGGATTCTAATTAAGGTTTAACACCCTCCTAAACAGTCGGGGTTGCCAACCCCGACTGTTTAGGCACTTCATTAAGCCCACGCGGTAAAAAGTGGGTCGATTTTGATAAATAAAAAAAAAGTGGGTCGATTTTGAAAAATAAAAATCTTTTTGAGGCTGTTTTGAAAATTTGTTCGTCTCTTAAATCTTTAATTTTGTGTTAGTCCTTCAAATCTTCATATATTTTGATGTTAGTCTCCCAAATTACACATTAGTCCCTCTAGTTAGTTGGGTTCATAAATGATGGAGAAAAATTCTGTTAAGTTTATTTCAATTATTAAAAGACATCTATGCCCCCTCACCTACCAAACTCAAACTCATTAAGAGCCCTCACAATCCATATTCGTTTAATGAAACTCAAACATATGACGACTATGTCTTTCTTGAACCATAAATTCACAATAAATACCTTCTTCACCCTAAAAAACTAAGCAGAAATCCCCCACCACAAATAATAGCAACAAGCTCCCCTTTCCAATTAAAAGCTTCTAAGCTAAAATCTATTCCACAAGTTAGCAAAATTTCAAATACAACTCAAACTCAGCATAACACAATACAACCAACAACATAAAACCCATTGATTTCTCTTACACTGAGATCTTCTCCGATCGAAACAAAAAAAGATAATACCTTAAGCAGCAAACCTCCTTCAAATAACCAACATCTATCTTTGCACTCTCCTAAAACTTTTTAAACCAGTGATTCAAAATATCCATAAGCACAACCAATCTACACACATTAACCCCACTAAATGAACATAAAATTAAACAAATTCTCCAAATCTTCGTCAGCATCCTCTCAATCCTCCCCTCTATTCCAACATCCGCCACCTTCAGAAGTGCCACAATATCCTCAACCGAGACTCTAATTCTCACGACAGCATCAACGCCGTGTACAACAACAATAAATGCAAAGTCTGGGAGAGCAGACCAACCGACGACGAAGACAAGGTGGCAGTGAAGGAGGAGGAAACAATGTGGTGTACTAAGACGAACTAACACAATTAGGGGTATTTTGGTAATTAGCCAATCTTGGTTAGGGTAAACCTAACCATGGTTTAGGATTTTTAATAGCAAACCTAACAAAGGGACTAATATCAACACAATTAGAGACTTTTGGGGGATTAATATCAAAATATAAAGACTTGAGAGACTAATATAAAAAAACTAAATATGTAAGGGACTAAAATAGAAAAACCCTTTTTTATTGGTTTTAATATTGTATCCGGATAAAGTATTGGCCCACATGATAATAATTATCTTTATTTGTTACAAAGAGTTGTAGTGGATTGAGATAAGCTCATAGTTAGATAGTTTCATTGATGAATGAAAATTGTCTTTTAAGAAGTCTTATCTTCTAAGAATTCCAGTTATAACAGAAGGGTCCTAGTCTAGCCTATGAATATAGTCATAGTTCCTCCATCAGATTTAGGCTATTCAATAAGGCATAGGCTAGAAACTTTTTCTATATTTATTTTCTTTATTCTATTAGTGATCTAATTTTGATCTTCATTTCTATATATACTCAGATTATATCTAGTTTTGATCTAATTTTCTAAGTTACAGATTGTTTTAAATGACAATGACTGGAGGTATCTTTTGATTTAATTTCCATTTGTGTGATCTGTATTTATTTAGATTATAATATCTTACATGTAGTATCAGAGCCAACTCCATCTATGTTGTTTAGTATTTTTAAGGTCTCAAATCACCGTATTACTTATTTTGATGTTATCTGGCCTATATGCTATGTTTGGGAGTTTACTAATGGAGAGGAAGGGACAGAAGGGAACATGCAATAATATAAGGAAAGCAAAGGAAGGAAAGGGGAAATGTAGTAATCATGTTTGGAAGTTTACTAAAGGAAATGGATAGGAATCATTTCTTAGTCATTTGATTTATATCACGATGGTCCAAAACAATTTACTTCCTCTGTTGTATCACAGAAATGACTAAGTGTTAATCCCATTCCAGAAGATGACATGTGTCTCAAATTAACTATACACAAATTCGACCCGACCCCATGAAGGTTGAATCAAATGATGCACTCAACCCCTCCCGAGACGGGCGGAGTCTAAAGACATCCTCACTTGGACCCTACTGCTAAGGCCAAACTCTGTGTGTTTCTAAGCAGAGGATTGAGTCGAAAAGTACCCTCATATAGAACAGCCGAATTGAAAGGCATCTTTTCTCATCCCCCTTACAAAGCCGAGACGAAAGGCTGTCTTTCTCGAACCCCTCAATGAATGTCAATCACCATAACATTAATTGAGAATTCAAAGTCACCATTACATCTCCCCCAGAATCATAATAACACATTAAAATGAGCTCGCGCCGCAACCCCTCTGTTGCCACCTAAATAAATATAGGGATAACTTAGATCACTCGATGCCAACACCTCACAGTACCGGTTGACTAAGCTGACTGCAGAAGAGCTAGGGAAAAGGGCTCTAGCAGGCCTCTCTTTAGGCATTAAAACACAAGTTTCAAGGGTCTCAGCTATCACCCGAAGAGGACAGAAAGATATCCCCGAATCGTTTGCTAATCTTATCTTTTTCTTTCTTGATGCAAGAATAGCCCTAGTCTTTTACCAGGAAAGATCAGATGCCGAGAATCGCCTGCTCTCTCTTTCTCGCAAGGAGATCCATTCCTGAGACTTGGTGAAGACTACACAAATGCGCTTTAGAATTTACTACATGAAGGTAAGCGATTCTTCTCTAAAGCCTACAGTATTCATATTACCTCCATTTAAGATCAATACTGACTTGACCGTTAGTTGAACGCCCGGAAAACCCAACTCTGACCCTCTTACGCATTATTTGTGTGTAGCATCATGACCTCTGCTCAATGATTAGCTACCAAAGAACATTGAGGGACCCTAAACACTCTATAACCTACCTAAAATCATGTTGTTAAGTACGTGACATCAACAGTTTGGTGCTTACCATGGGGTTTCTTTTTCTTCTTTAAACAAGATGGCTGGTTATGATCATCGAGACCGATCATCAATTCCTTCTACTAAAGAAACACATAATGTGGGCTACGTCACTTAAGCCCAATTGGAAAAAGCCACCCAAATAATTTTCCAATATCTTCAACAACAGTTCGCTTCCTTCACAAACGAACTTCTCAACCAGATTTTTCCCCAGCAATCTTCTCTGTCATTCGCTGCTCCCTCCCTAGAGAGCAATCTGAATAATAAACGCAGGAGGAACAAACTAAATATGCCTCTCCTCCACCTCACCAACAGATTCGTTTTACCGCTCATCCTGATAACTACCGCAACATATGGAAGCAACCAGTGAGAGTTCTAGTTTCGGCCATGAGTCCACCACATGGACGATGCCGTGCAGTGCCAGATATCCTCACACTATTCTAGGCCCCTCCACCACTAACTTTGCTTCTAGTTACAACCAATTTAACATCGTTGCAGACGTCATCGGAGGGGACACTCCGCTTACGGACTGGATCAGGAACACTCCATGCGCCAAGTTTAAAATACCACATATTGAGAAGTACAAAGGCGAGGGAGATTCAAAGGAGCACTTGTAAAACTTCTATGATCTGATGTGCATGCAGCAAGTGAGCAATCTGATCATCTATAGAACTTTGCTAATCACCTTAATGGAAAACGCTAAAATATGGTGGAACTCATTGGACAAAAAGTCCATCCACAGCTTTGTACAACTCACCCAAAAATTTGTTCATCATTTTTAGCCGACTTTAAGCAGAAGGCACCCTCCTCTGTCTTGCTACAGACAAGATAGAAACCAGGGAAGAGTCTCAGGAACTATTTTAATAGATTCTAAGCTAAAAGGCTAGAAGTTGAAGACCCTAGCAACATGATCGCTATGACCGCAATCTCTGCAGGGCTGGAAGATGATAAGTTGTTAACTCACTCATCATATACCGCATGACTAACTTTGACGAGCTAATGGCTAGAGCTCGAGGATACA